GTTCATCTCTTTGTCCATGTCGAATGTTTTCTTTGGTGCTGAGTGGATAATATGAGTAGATGCTACCACGGTGTGAGGGAGCAAAGACATTTATGATACATCATGGTTCACCGTTTTCCTGTGATAAGGTCAGACTTGGCCAATCTTCAAAGGGCAGTCATTACAATCTGCATTACGCTGACAATGTGAGACATGTTTTGCAACAATCACCAGCTGACCTGCCTTTGCGTCAGCATCTTTCTGACGCACGTTGAACCTTGCATGTTGAAAAGAAGCACACTCTAGCAAGACTTCTAGAATGATGGCAACAAATTTGTCTCAGAATCGAGCAAGTCCACACACATCAATGCCCCCCAGTCATGAACTTTCTGCAAAGTGGCTCGCAGAAACGGTAAAAGCCACAAGCCAAAGCACCGGCTGCCATGAAGTCTACAAACTTCCTTAGTCTTCATCATAGTCAAGTCATCCTGGAAGCAAATGTTCAAAAACGAGATGGTTGCCAAATCGCTCGGCATAGTAGTACGATGTAGTAGGTGTGCTTCAGACATGACAGCTGCTTATGTACTCGGTCAGTGCTTGAAAGCCAGCAAAAAATGAATGACAAAATGCCAGCAACTCAAACCGTGCGTCCTGACACCACATATAGGAGGAAAAGGGCCCTTGAAATATCTTGAATTTGATAATTATAGTCTTATTACATTCTTTAAAATAGAAACACTGCTTTTGGGCCAGGAGCGCACTTGAAACCATCATACCAGCAATCATTGAAACATATTGAAAGACTGCGTTCACTGAGGCACAAACTCTGACTCGAGCGGTGTCAGTTTCCGATGCCTTGAGGAGCTGTCAATGGCTGTCGCAGAATGACCAGAAGCAGAGTTTTGGACAGTACGCACAAATGTCAAATGTATGCGAATGTGTATGGTAAGCTGACAACCAAAGACTTCAAACTCAGGCCGCCCAGGCCTGAAGTATTCCTTCAACAAGACCTGGGCGCATTCCACAAATGAAGGAGCCAACCACGCACGTACCTCGAGCTCCCAACCAGAAGCCGAGGCTTCATGATCACATTGGCCGCCTCGGTCACGTCTCGTCGCCTAAAAAACTCCGGCGAAACCGAGGCTTCGGTAAGCGAGGCTCCGGCGGTGAAGCAGCAAGCACTTGCACACACAGCCAGGTCGACCACATAGGACCCAACACATGAGTCCTAGGACCCAGGACTCAGCACTGAACTGAAAGTATTGTGCTGGACCGGAGAACTTGACTTTCTCACTCAAAAACACCTACAGAACACATGCAGACTGTTCCTTGAGCAGCGAAGTGCAAAAACAAAACGGGCAAACAAAACCTCAACTCTTTTCCCGCTGAACACTGCTCTGGGCTACAGAGTGCTGCTCTCGGCCACAAAGTGGCAAGCCCAGTCCTGAGTGAAAGTTGACTTCTGCCCTAGAGAGCCAAATGGTTTCCTAAGTAGGTCTCAAAACAGATCAAAATAGATCATGTTCATTATACAGACTATGCCAAAGATGGTCGAAGCATTTCAGGACAAATTGTTCGATACTAATGTGAAAGCCTTGGAGTTGGGGAAGCCCTCAACTTTGCTCTCAGATCAATTGAGGCCGGCTTCTCAGCAGGTAGTGCAGCTCCCAAGTTCCAGCTTCGCACCCGCTCAGAGCGTCTGTCCGGCAGCCGTCCGAAGATGCCTGGTGGATCCCAGCGCGCAGGAGTCCGCAGGAGACGGAAAGAGACACAAAACAGGGAGATGTAGAGAAGAGCAGACGGAGGGAGAAGAAATAGAGCAAGGATGAAATGGGAGGAAAGAAAAAGAGAGAATTGCAGACACTCAATTGATTCAATTGATTCAAAATCATCAGAGTCCCTCTCTTATATAACTCACTTGCCCCACTTATTCACATTCCTATTCATTAGCTGCTCCTGTGGGCACATGTGGAACTTCCGTGCCTGGCCTTTTGGAACATATCCCGTGGACTTTCGCTGGCCACTGATAGTTCGATTCCATCCTGAAAGACAATTTGATTAAGTAAATGAATTACTGTAAATAGATGTAAATTAGTATATTCAATATAGAAACTACTATAGAAGTACCGCATTACAGTATATAAGAGTATATGTTTTCGTCTCTAGCTCTTAATAAAAAGAAAACAAACCAAAAGGATCCAAAAGGCTACTAGTATTGGGCCTGACATCATCTGTCCATTGCTCTACAAAATACAAAAAGAATTATATATATTATAGGAGCAAACTGTAGCCAGGTGTCGCGAGAGCCCCAGAAGAATTCCGAGGAGTAGCGACCACCGTCGCGAACATAGTGGGCGTATGCGCAGCCGCAATTTATACGACCTCCAGCCCAAAGCAAATCCGAAAGATTGCATATCACGTCAAACCGTGCAAGGAAACCATAAAAGTTATAAGCATTCTCCACCCGCGCTAGCTGCTGGATTCTAAATTTGCCTACCCGGACCGTTCGCACGATGTTTGAGGTAAATGTCTTTATTTAAACTCAGAGCTGCCTCTTCAAGGGACCATCAAATGATTCGCTTCCTGATGCCCAAACAATGTGGCTTGCTAGCTACTCGAGCTCTGTTTGCCTAAGGTCCCTGCGGCAGTCAGCTCTACTGCACCCTCCAATGTTGTCCGCAACCACTGTGGTTCCGGGCTTGATGAAGCCCCATTCCTGATCAGCTACACTCCCAGGACGACAACATGCTGGCATGGGTCAAAACGAAGAACTCGTTTCCGCCATTTCTGCAATGACAGTTTGTCTTATTCTTTCATTGACCACCAATTTAGGGACCATCTATTTCTCTATCAAAGCGGATGTTTGTTATTACAGGATTCCATCCAATTCCCTTGAATCTGCCAAACGCCTACACTCTCCACAGGCTGCGTCAAAACTGTCCTCCAAACGATGGATCTCCTCCAAGTACAAGGCCTTGCTGTGGTCCAGGAAGACCAAATCCACCGGCCGTGGCAGCTGCGACCTCGATCGCAAAACGCGAAACGGCAACAATGCGAAGGAAGGAACTGATGGATTGACTGAAGCGAACATTTGACATCACGAACGCGATCCCTCGTGACTGGGCCCTGTTGATGCCCTGTTGTGCCACCGTATTGTGTCTATAGACTATAGATGTCTATAGTCTATTGAGAAAAGATTCAGGGCTGTGAGGTTGGACGTTGCATGATTCTACAATCAACAGCACTGCGCCAGCACTGCACCTGCCCACACCAAGTGCGGAAAGCAAAACAGCACTATCTGCGGAAGCGCCGCTGGAGGCCTTCAAGTGTTCCATGCAATACGACAGCATTGGAAAGCCCAGCATGCCTGAAACAGCATAAAGGCAAGATTTCCACCAACACAAGAGGATCAAAGGATATCTGACATCCTATCAGAAAGGGAATATCACTTACCACAACTGTTCTGACTTGAGCTTGCATATCCTGTCCAATGAGAGGTGGCCTCAGAACAGCTTCTGCCCGGGCAGCATTGTCGGCATTCTCATCAATGGTATACAGAAGAGCGCCCTCCTCGATGTTGGGCGCATTCTGCGCTCAGCAACAAAATTGGAGGTCAGAAATAGGTGGGTCATGGCACCAGGATACCTTGGATTTTCCCTACGAAGGGCGTTCGCTATGGTGGGTCACGACCCGTCGCTGTGAAGGGCCAGAATGGCCAAGAAGGCCAATGATCGACCTTCAGTCAAGGCTCGTCCAAGAGTCGTGCGATGCGCACCTGATGGCGCAACATGGTCGCTCGAACACTGCACATTGAGGCACACTGCACTTCTTCAGAAGCAATCTTCACGTATGATGAATTTACAGAACGGGTGCTCCTGGGAGATGTTTTTCATGCAAAAAAGTATACAAAAACACTGTGTTTTACAGTGATTTCTTGCAAAATCCTCTCCAAAATTGAGGTTTTGAGCTATTTTTTGAGCAATTTTGTGAGATCCAAGCCTATCCCAATTTAGAGGGAATACAAAAAAAACAAAAAAACAATAAACCAAAAAACCAAAAAAAACAATAAACCAAAAAAACAAAAAACCAAACAAAACAAAAAAAAACAATGTTTGACACAAAATGCAGCCAACATCCAAAAACCAATAGTGACCCCATTTTGTCTCAAACATTGTTTTTTTTGGTTTTTTGTTTTTTTGGTTTTTGGGTTTATTGGTTTTAACGCTTTCAGAATTATTGGTGGAAGTTGATTTATCATTAGCTTTCTATTAAAAATGTGTTTAAGATTAATTGTAGATTTTTTACAAACTAAGTTTTTTGCCTAATTCTATTTTAATTCCAGTTTAGTTAGTTTAAGAACACACATGTTACAAAACCCTATATTTTACAGTGTGTTTTGCCCTAGGAGTGCTGGGAATAAGACACAAACTATGTTTTTGAGTAGATAGTATTTGTTTAAAGTAATCCCTTGGAATATTCATTGCTATATTAAAACTGCTTTATGTACAAACTTCTAATTCAAAAGGTTCCCTCTAGATCTGATCACTTCTGTGAAAAAAATATAGAGCTTTCATTTCAAAAGCTTTCCTCTGGATCTCTGGAAATAGTCATGGTATTTTAAAAAAGCTATAAGTATGTATGTAAGTGTTTCTTTCAAATGCTTTCCTTCAATGAAAATAAACAAATCTAGGAAATCTACTTTCCCAGAGATCCAGAGGAAAGCTATTGAATCTAGAGATGTATAGTATTATATCTTCATTCGCTCATGATGCTACATTCATTGTGGGCAGAGAGAGATTTACCTGATAATATTATCATTGGTGTTGCACATTGATAGTGGGCAGACGAAGAGCTGTTATTTGTTGTCATTGACATTGGACATGGAGACACAGACAGATCCAAAAAATTGCGTTTCGCCTAGTTCTCAGAGCAGTTTTTGAAATTTTGCACGGTATTTACAGTGTTTTCTAAGGGTTTTGAGCTAGTGTGTGTGCTCTCCCAAGCACACCCACCCTCTGAATTTATGAGTCTTGAGAAAGCTCTTGCACTTGCGACTGAATGTACGAGATCAAGTCTATCTCAAGGTTGTTGCACAATTTGGCTAGGGGGGCTAGGGCTCTGACAGCGGAGTAGCCAAGGTAGCTTCCAAGTTCGAGCACCAAGCTGGGTGAACTCCGCTGCACAGCATGATCCAAGTATGTGCCCTTCATTGGACCAACGTGTAGAAGCGGCTTGCCTAATTGTTGCCAAACACTACGTACGACAAAGCAGTTTGCTTGAAACATTAGAATTCAAGCCAAGGATCACTGCACGTGAAAGTCTTCGAATGCCTCAAATGGACTACGACTAGTTTTGAGTATAGATTGCAAAACCAAAAACCAAGAATACATGCGCTTGTGCGCAGGATGGAGTCAGACCCCCCACCCAGCCTTGAGAATTGCTTCAGGATGTCCTTTGCTGGTTTGCAGCACTTGCTCAACGGCCAAATGCTCACGTTCGCTTCGAGCAAAGCTTCTCCCATCCGCTGGGCCGGCCGTGCCCTCCGTGCCCTCCGTGCCCCTTGCTTCACCGAAGACATGCGGCGCCAGTGGCCGCAACAACAAGCCGCTGTTGTGGCGTTGCACCGCAGCAGCGCGAGCCCAAGAGCGCCCGGGGCTCATTTCTCCTGTGGATCGCAAAACAGGGGTCTGATGGTGAAGAGAACATGAAAGAACTGCAATACAAAATACATTCAATGAAGTGAAGTATGCAATGCACTAGTCACTTGCCAAATTAATATCAAGCACGATCCAACCCAAATTGTACCATTACCACGACTTCTGTTTTCAGCGCAGCAGCAAAGCCTGCGCGAAATCCCGTAATGAACTGGGCAATTCTGAAGTTGGCACTGTTGTTGGCACAGCTCCCATGTACCAAAAGCTGATTCCAAAGTAAGAAGCTGCCAGCCCTCATTGGAATCCGCCTCTAGAAGGGACGACTCCAAGTGAACTTGCAGGCCCGTGCACCGCTGTAACTGTTTAGATTATTTGTCTACTTAATTGCACAATGGCGTGTCCTTTAAAGAATCGACCATGTTCTATCAAGAACCCATGGATATCCATGGAACCATGAAACATTGAAGAGTTGTCACCTATCCACCTGTGCTGGCCTCGACAATTGGTGGATTCGATCCAAATTTGAGAATTTGAAGCTGCCACCGCCAGCCGCCCTACGCAGCACCCAATTGTCATGCTGGCCACTTTGTGCCAAATTGCTCTCCATGTCACCTGTCACCATGCGTTGATGAGACGTGTCATCAAAATATCCCATTAGTATCCATTATATAGTCATTAGTATTAGTATTAATTAGCCATTATATATTATTATATGGTCTCATCTTAAAACCAATTCTCCTGCCTAATGCTCGAAGCCAAGGCATAAAACATCGGTGGAAACCAGGCACAACTCGAGTGCCACCATCCTGGACCGCTTCAGTCGGGGAGGCAAACGGAAAAACACGCTTCATGCAGTTTACTGCCTGCCTGCTACAGATTGCTACAGTCTATTCCCATGTTTGCTCCTTGCGAGCAACTACGTACTAAGCTCGATGCTGTGGTCACAAAATGTCACAGCACAGCTGCTTGACAGAAACAAACTTGCGACCTGTCCTCCTCCAAATTGTCTAGCAAGTTCAGGACTCCCTGAACATGCTCCCCTGTAGAACTGCCACGGCCCTGGACAGCCGTAAGCTCAGCACGGAAGTCCTCAAGACGTCGCTTGGCTCTCTTTGCAAATGCCTAAGGCCTACTGTAAGCTTCAATAACAAATATAATAACAGTTTGCTCCTGCAAAGGGAATCGATGGTCGCCAGCTATTGTCATTCCATACCTGCAATGCAAAGCTAAACAATGCTAAACGGATAAGGAAAGAATGACACAAAACATAGATGAGCACACCAAAAAAGAACCATAAAAATCACAGGCTTGAAAGTCCAAACTACATGGTCCGCTGGGCGTAGATGGCCGGGTGCTTTCGGGACATTTCGGGACAATTTGTTGTGTGTTGAAGATGTCATTTTATTAAAGTTACCTTGGGGTTAGCAGTTCTTTGATTGTTAGGGCTTTTGGGGGTGCCATTGTTTGTTCAAAAAAATACTTTGGTTACTCATGGCTGCATGTGCCGACACAATAAATCAAGAAAAAATAAGAAAAATATATTCTGCAAAGGTCATGCTGTTTCAAACCTGAACTCCATAGTTGTCCATCTACGCCAGGAATTTCACAGACCCGGAGTTCACCACAAACTCCAAATCGACGATAATGTTGCGAAGCTAATGATACTGTTGTGAAATCGATTTACCCCCCCCCCACACACCCCACCCCACCACATTTTAATCACGACTAATCGATGACAACGTTGCGACGTCGATGACAATGTTTTGATGTCGATGACAATGTTGTGACACCGATGACAATGTTGGGACATCGACAACAAACAAAAAGTGCTGTATATAAATGCCATGCATGTTCTACATAATTGATCGAAACCACGATAAATACATAGAAATACCATAGAAAATGCTTATTACCATTTCGACGCTCTCCACAGTGGCCCGGCGGACACATAGAAAGTACATACCACACGGAATTTGCAAAGTGCTGAAAATGACCCGGCCGTCTGCGGGCGGCAGGCCAACTTATATGCAAACCTAAAGAGAGAAACAAAACATAACAAGACCAACAACTCAGACAAAAGAAAAAGTAGGACTGGAAATAAACCTAGTCCTAAAGAAGGAAAAATTGAACAAGAACCTCCTTCAGCAGTTGCCTGAGGTCTTCAATCTCTGTTGGCTTCAACCCAGCATAGGTCCAGGGGTTCACATCCAAGTGCAGATTCTCAGCCGTACGAGCGCTTGCATCATCACCAGCAGGCCGGTAGATACACCACCTTTTCAAGCCAACAGAATTCTCAACGCCCGTTCTTGAACGGACCAAGTGAATGCACTTTTGAATGGTTTAATTCAAACACATCGCCGACCTGTCTTGAGTGACAACCACACTATTGGGATCAGGATGAGGGCTGTCAAAGTCCTTCCGAATGGCAGCATCGCTTGAGAAAAAAGACAACAAAATTGATCAAAATTGGATTGACAGTGCACTGGAAAACGTGGGTCACGCATCCTTCGTCTATGTAACTACAGTAACATACCATGAGTCCATGACTTGAGTACCACAGATCGTGGTAGACGGATGTAAAGTGCATTCCAAATCCACAACCTGTGAGAATCTGCAAAATAATGGTAAGAATGGACCGGGCCGAGCTCTTAGTGGCTTGAAAATGATTCCCCCGCCGTCTCTCCTCAATCCCACTCATGCGCGGAAGAACAGCATCCAATGCGGCATAGACACGGTCATTCTGTCTGTTTGCAACTATCTGCGGAGTGAACACTGCCTCAAGTAGCCAAATCATGGATGAGTTTCATTTCGTTTCTAAGCACCAGTTTGCACAGAGTAAAAACCAGGAGCCTCTCCGCAAATCCGGGCGCCGGCCACGGGCCCGTGTCCTTGCCGGAGGCCTTCGGTGGTAACCGAAGGTTATATACGCTCGCCGCCCCTGCCGCCGACCCTTTTGTTGGACCGCGGGGATACCCCCGCCCGACCCCCGCCCAAATCCGCCCGACAGATTTATATGTATCTTGCGCTGGATGTTCGAAAAATGTTCAAAAACATCGTTTTTTACAGTGTTTCGTGGCCTTCGGCGTCCACGACAGGGTGCCCGTGGTGTCAGTTATGCGTGCCGCGCGGACAGGCTTAATCGACATTTCGTGGGTGTCGGGCACGTGCTAAGAGCAAAGGCGGAACATGTGCTCCAAGATGATCTGACAGAGGCCCTCAAGAGGACTCAACATAGGTCTCAGATATGGCCCACATAGCCCCAAGATGGGGCAACATAGGCCCCACACAGTCGCACATAGCCGCAAGATGACCCTACCTAGCTCTCAGATATGGGAAACATAGCCCCAAGATGAGCCAAGATTGCCTCAAGATGTGGCAACATAGGTCCCACACAGTCTCAAAAAAAAAGAGAGAGAGAGAGACAGCGAAGATGACTCTCCCTAGCTCTCAGATATGGGAAACATAGCCCCAAGACGGGCCACATAGGCCCCACACAGTCTCAAAAAGAGAGAGAGAGAGAAAGAGACAAAGAGAGAGAGAGAGAGAGACAGAGACAGCGAAGACAGATACAGAGAAGACCGAGACAGAGACAGAGAGACAGAGAAGACAGAGACAGAGACAGACAGAGACAGAGATAGAGACAGACAGAGACCGACAGAGACCGACAGAGACCGAGACAGAGACAGAGACAGAGACAGACAGAGAGAGGGGAGGGAGAGAGGAGAGAGAGAGAGAGAAAGATGGCAGGAAATGTGCAAGACGGCTCTCCCGACTTCGGCGTATACTCGGTATACGCCCGGGCGGTCAGCCTCCTTCGCGAGAAGGATGCTACCGGGACGCCCGAAGTCCCGGTCCCCGTCTTGCACAGGGAGGGGTTGTTCGGTCCCCCACCGACGGAAGATGTAGACGATGTGCACCTGGCGAGAACGAACTCGCAGACACTGCTGTCTGCACGCACCGCGCATCCGGCGAGAACGAACTCACAGACACACCGCGCGTCCAGCGCTCGCTGACCGGTCCTTTTTGACTGCTACGGCCTGGTTGTTGTCATGAAGTTGGCCGCGTGAGCGATGCTCTGGCGGAGGCTAGAGCGAAGGCGCAAACGCGCCAAGGATTGTGCGACTGGACGCGCACAGCGTCTAGGCTCTCGACGGTGGTGCGATGGAGGGGGTTGGTGATTAGACGGTTGTTGCCACCGCTTGTTAAGGCATGAGAGACTTGAAATGACATACCCACATACCCACGTCGAAATCGTGAGAGGGCATCGAGAAGGATGTGCTGGATGTGGCACAGTATTTGCAATGCGACTGTGACAGAGTCATGTGCTGGCAGATGGTTCAATCGAACCTTTGGCTCCACAAGCCCACGAAAACGAAGCCATGGCTGAGGCCGTTCGGGAGCAAACGATCGAAACCCTGCTCTGCACTTGGTTTTTGACAATGGAATATCTATTAAGTGGGCGGAGTATGGTATTTGCCGGGCATGAGCGATGCTCTTGCGGAGTACGCACCAAGGATTTGCGCGGTTGGAAGCACGCCGCGTTCGACTTGCCTACGGAGTGTCTAGAATGGAACTTTTATTAAGTGGGCGGACTATGGTTTTTGTCGGGCATGAGCGATGCTCTTGCGGACTTGGCTGCAGCGGCTGCGCGATGCGCTGGCTCTCGGGTATAGGGGGTGAGATGGTGCTGCCCATGGTGGTTCTGTGCACCAGGCTTTTGACTACGGAATTTCGACAATGGAATTGTTATTAAGTGGGCGGACTATGGGTACGGAATTTCTAGAATGGAATCTATTAAGTGGGCGGACTATGGTTTTGCCGGGCATGAGCGATGCTCTTGCGGACTTGGCTGCAGCGGCTGCGCGATGCGCTGGCTCTCGGGTAGGGGGTGAGATGGAGCTGCCCAGGGTGGTTCTGTGCATTAGGCTTTTGACGTGGAATTTCTATCTGATGTGGACTGCGTATGTTGCACGTCACAGCTTGCGCATGCTGCTTTCATGGCATAGGCTTCTACACTTTGCGACGCCTCTTCCGTGGCACGCCACGCTGGGTGTTATCGCGGCACTCTGCACAGATCCAATGAGCCAAAACGTCGACACGGTAGCCACTTTTTTGTGGCCGTGGCCGACCGCACTGGTCGCACGGGGGATAGTTTCGCAGCGATTGGCACTCGCTACACATCCAAGTTGGTAAATCTTTAACATGGTAGCCGCTTTTTTGTGGTCGTGGCTGACCACAAGCATCACACGGCGGATAGCTGCATTGCATACACAAGGTGTCTGCCATGGCCTGGGACTCTAGCGGCTGACCGCACTGGCTGCAAGGCTTCACTTTGCACTCTGCGCAGCTCCAAGAAGGTAAAACCTTGACATGGTACCCACTTTTTTGAGGCCGTGGATGACCACAGGATTCACACGGCGGATAGCTGCATTGCCTACACAAGGTCTCTGCTATGGCCTGGGACTCTAGCGGCTGACCGCACTTGCTGCATGGTTTCACTTTGCACTCGGCGCAAGTCCAAGTTGGTAAAACTTTGACGTGATAGCTTCTGTCATCGGGTCGTGGACGACCACACACTGGACAAGGGGGATACGCACATGCGGCACACCATGTCCCAGCTGTTGCAGTGGAAGGCAAGGGTTTGGCACAGTTACCACAGAGTTTAGGCTTAGCGACACACGCTTTGCATGTTCCTGTGTTGTTGTCGGCGGTGTAGTTAGAAAGGTTGGGAACGGCGACCACTTTCTCACACCGAACACAGCGGCCTTGCTTGCCTTGGCATTCTGGACAGTGCCAAATAGGATTTTTCTTGGCGTGGAGTCGCCTTTTGCCTACTTGAGGGCGTGGTTTTCCACATCCGCCCGTGCAAGGAGGGTATGCACAGGGTTTGCACCACGTACCTGGAGTTTGACTTGCCTTCAATGGCTGGCCACAGTTTGCGCAGGTCTTGGACGCCCGCGCTTGGTTGGCGACACAAGCGCGCTTGCTTGCCTTGGCATTCTGGACAAGGTGTCGGGTACGGGGTCACAGACTTTTGACACAAAACCAGCGCTGTCAGTTCTCTCCTGTCTCTCTTAAGCGAGCCATGCAGTCAGTGCAGTTCAGTCTCTCTTAAGCGAGCCATGCAGTCTGTGCAGTTCAGTCTCTCGTAAGCGAGCCACGGTGAGTCGCTCACAGTCAACTCTCTCTCGTCACTCTCTGGCAGTCACTTCAGTCTAGTCTGTTTTCAGCGAGTCTGACAAACACAGATATTCGGTGGGTAGTATTTTGTAGTAAAACTCTGTCGTGGATGATCTTTTTGGGTTCGGTTGGTGGGTTTTTAGAGGAAAATAAAACTATGTCAAAGGTAATTTTTGGAAGAAAATGAAACTATCTAATAGATGCTTCTTGACTGAGAAGTTAACATGGTCGAAGATGTTTGACTCCCGCTGGGCCCCTAAACACCGTAACAAACGACCACGGCTTCTCACAGAATGAAACCGCTTGCTCGCCGTAGCTGGGAGGGAAGACCGACGCGCTCTCTGCTTTTGTTGGCTCCGGGTGGTGGACGACGCTACCTCTTCCGAGGACGAGGGGATCGTGCGAGGAATATAGCCCTATCTAAAATTATTCGTCGACGTTGCTGTAGGTGTGGAGAGACGTTGAAAGAGACAGAGCAGAAGAAAGCATAACGCTGTGCCTGGCTGTGGCTGTGTTCGACGGCTCACCCGACCTTCGGTGCACTTACTGTGCACCCGGGCGGTCAGCCCCCTTCTTGCGAAGGACGCTGCCGGGACGCCCGAAGTCCCGGCCCCCGTCCTGCGCGAGGGTGGGGGAGCGATGCTCCCCCACAACCTTTTAGCCGACACAGAGGCAGAGACAGAGACAACTACCGACTAATACCGCGACGGAGACAGGGACGGAGACCGAGGCAAATAGTGAAGGAAAAGGGAGAGACAGAGAGAGAGAAAGAGAGAGAGAGAGAGTGGAAAAGTATGTTACGCAATTTATGTTCACATACATCCTCCGCGACAACTTTTTTCGCTTCTGCCTTCCCGCTTAGCGTCACCGTTGCACACAAACCCTCACCCTGCTTGGCCGGCGCCCGGCTGTCAGGCGTAAGCCTCTTAAATCCTTGAACAAAAAGTAGGGTGTGCCAAGCACTGCCCACAGCGCCTGCTCCTCCGGAAGTCCATACCGTTCGGAAGACAGCAAAGACCAGCTCTCCGAGTCATGACGCTCCAGACCTTCCGGGCAGCTCTCGCGGCGTGCGGTTTTTGCGGTGCGGCTCGGGGGTGGTTCGTCTGGAAATGCACCCGGAGTTCGGGTTCCGCTGTCTGAGTTCTTTGAGAGGACCTCGGATTGAGATGTTCGAACTTCGGTTTGCCAACGTACGGTCTTCGAACTCCAACACATCCAATGAGCTCAACTATTGGGTAGTAGTGCCAGTGATGCAGACCTATAAGACTGTAGGTTGCTAACCTACAGGTTTTGATCATTGCTTGAGCCAACCTAGAGTTTGCCAACATATGTTTTTACAACTCCAACCCTGCCCAATTACTGGTTAGTGGTGCCAGTAATGCAGACCTATAAGACTCTAGGTTGCCAACCTACAGGTTTCAATCATGGCTTGAGTCTGTCACAAAGACCCTAGGCCGAGATGAGAATGATTGGATGCCAAGCCTACTTTAAATATTGTTCAAATCTTTACTATTCTTCACATCTTCTATGACTCGGTCTTGATGCGTTGCATTACCGACCTGGAGTTCGCTCCTCCAGTGACCTCCAAATCTCCGCCACCGTCGCTTCACCTCAGACATAACAAAGCAAACAAAAAATCAAAAAGACTTTGACGTTAGAGGTTAGAATGTCAACATATGTCATTCTCAGTGAAACCACACCAAACCACATTCAGGAGCCGTGAGGACATCTCTGAAGACCACGAACCCATACTCATGGAAAAAGTGTTGCGCTGCTGGCAAGTCCGCAACTTCGGTGCTGAAGCTTTTTACCTTGTTCCACACATGGATGGTCACTGACGGAGAACTGAATTGAATGCTTGACTGTGATTATTCATATAGTTCTTGCGAACGTAAAATATTAATTCTTAAACAAGCACAACACCGACACAGCAACAAACCTTCTTCAGAAGAATAAGGAGCACACATATCTTGCATCATCTGGACACCGTGGCAAAGTGACTGGCTCTGGATAAGCAGACCACTCTGTCCTCCTCAGATGTCTAACACTCCACCGATGCACAAAAACATCCTCTGCACCTTTCTTGGCAAGCATCTGTGTCTTTTCCAACGGCTTACGCTTGGCAGCTCTTAAGGCCTAGGCGGGAACGTCAACTCGGTTCGCCCTTGACGACCAACACTTGGTCATGGTCGGATTGTCTCGGTGTCCCCCTCTGCACCGCTTGGCAATTGTTGCTACCAGAGCCGAAATGAAGTCTTGAAAATCTCTTTGTATCAAACGAACAAACATTGCCCAAAGGCAAAAAAGTCGTAGAGCCTGCATCTCCCAGCCAAAGGTCCGTTCTTTCTGCATCCCCAGACATGGAACATCATGGAACTCCTGGTCACCTCCATCCCGCCTTTGCAATCACCGCCAGCCGCTGGCCACAGCGTTGCCGCTCGCTCACATCGCAGGCCTTTTGGACCTCCTCCAAAGCGGCGTTGTACAGATCCTCGCCGCTCCATCAAGTCTCTCGGTCTGGTCGGCTCAATGCGAGCCGTCAACGAGTTTAGCTTTGCAAAGGCATTCAAGATCATTCAAGGGCATTTTGGGACCTCAAAGGACGCAGTACCTCTTGGGGTTGGTCAGGTGGGAGTTTGGGACTTGATTTCATGTCAATGGACTTGATGCAATGCGTCTACGTCAAAAACGTGTTTCTGATGCGCTCCTCCACTTCAAGCACGCTGAGGCCATCTGTGTCTGGAACATCAACATGATCCATGTCGACATTGCTAGCTCATGCGGGGTCTGAGTTGAGTTTGAACTTGCTTAAGTTCTCATTCGCTCTGTTGTGAAGCACGTGCATTTGCTTCAGGTTCCGGTCAACAGCAAGATGCAGCGAGAAAGGAAGAGCGAGAAAGGAGAAAAGCCTCGATAATCTGCCTCCAAATAATAGTTGATACTTATATATATTATATATATACATATTTTGGTATTGTGTTGCACTCAAGCAAGCTAGAGCAAACGCGTGAAAACTATGTCGGCAAATTTCTTGGGGAGGTTCACGCAAGTGCACCTGGCTTTCACAGATCTCTTTCTATAGTCACCCAAAAAAGCCTCCGGCCCTGACAAATTCTCTGGCAAACATCACTTTAAACAGAACCTGGTTTCTGGAAAGTTCAGCCAAAATCTGGCAAAAGTTCAGCCGCCTAAGTTAAGTGGGCCCTAAAAGCAAATGTTGTTTTTCAAGGGGTTCTCATCGGCTTGAATGACAGTTGCCAGGAACGCTAAACAAACAGAATTCAGTACACTACCTCTCCTGTGAAGCACCTTGAAGTTCCTCGAAACACGAAAGAAACAACACATTATCAGTTCAGGGTGCTGTCAATGTTCATCACCTCACTCAGGGCGCTGTCCCAAACCCCAGAACATCGGCAAACGAAGAGGCACTTTTTGCAGCAGCTGTTGCTCAGCATCATTGGTGTCAATCATATGGCGCTGGTGTCAATGAGCTGCCCTTCAGTCGCCGACTGACTCTCAGATCCGGTCTCCGACCGACGAATGCTTGGCCGATCCGAAGCAGGGGCCGATCCTTCAATGTCTTGCGTCACCACAACGCCTGCCCAATGGGCGACATGCTTCACTCTGTGAGATTGCATGACCATCCTGCATGAAGCAAAAAGAAGAGTTCAAACATGAGTTCAGACATGATCGTAGCCCATGGCTACCACAAAATCCTTGGCTGCCAAAGCGATGTCCAAAAGCCTCCTGCAAAGGGTGTTCACCTCATGCACATGCATAGTGGCATAGAGATCATGGAGCTTGGATCTCCCATCATCAAAGCCATCTTCGACCTTTGCAAGGTATCAAGTAGTGCAAACGCGATGATGCATTGAACAGCATCGGTGTTGATTCTTGATGATGAAGCTGTCAGGCTTGGTCGTATGACATGCCTTCATGATCTTCATGTACTTCTGTCCGACCGCTCCCCGGTCGGTCACCAAGCTCATCCCATTCACCTGCACAGGTGAATGGGATGAGCCTCATAAACCTGTGCGGTTTGACCTGCCCATTTATGTCGCTCTTTCCACACTTGTTGAACTGAAGCATGTGAGGTCTTTTGGCCACCTCGCCAAACCACTGTCCCCAGAAGCAAGAGCCGGAGCGCCCCATCATGAAGTGCGACCGCCTACCTTGCCGCTCCTTCTTGTTGACTTCGAGGACTTGAACCATTATATATTGTATATCCACCAGAAAAGGCAGCCCAATATCACCCCAGAGAGTGGGCGCCATGACTTCACTCCTTTTCTTACACGACTGTAACTGATCTTGAAGCTTCAGAAGAATCGTAGGATCACATGGTTTCTTGGGATCACACAGTCACAGTCACACAGGATTCTTGATGTTTCTTAGGAAAAGACTCATATTTTATGACAGAATATCAAACGCACGATGAGTATCGGCATCATCTACATCATTCAAGCTCCAGGCATTCAGTACAGTTACAGTTGTAATCCCTTTAATCAAAGCAATGCAGGCCACCAAGTCATGCTCAGATCCTCAGAACACTTTGCTAAGGACCGGAGCCTTCAAAAGTGCACAGTAAGTGTAGATGGCCCCTCAGGATTTGTGGGTTGCCATCCATTTCTGTCGCAATGATGACCAAAATCCAGTCCTGGTCGCCGTTCCGTGCAGTTGAAACCCGTTTTGTGCAGGAAACCTCTTCGCTTGAAAAGAGTTTTCTCCGGGAAGATACGACACGGAAGGAGGCACGGAAGATTTTTGTTGATGCATTTGCCTCTGGAGCAAAGACTTGCAAAATCAGAGGGTCTGAGAAACCACAAAGTCTGGAGTTGAATTCAAGCGGATCTGGTGCTGAGCAAGCTTCTTCATGCCGCATCTAAACTCTTCAGCGCTCCAACCAAAGCCCTCCAGCATCTGTAAATGCTCACCATCAGGAATTCCATGACGAGCCCGGTATCGGTCAAGGGCCATCTTCTCCTTTTGCACATAGCAATAATCACCAAGACATTAGAAGGCAGTCTTTCATTGGGGTACAATTGAGTTTAAATGAGTTCAAAATGTTCTTTCTGACGTATAAGTATATGCCTATGTACACAATATTAGACAATTATAAATGTCACTTTGATGGGCCACCTTGTGCGGTTGCCAGGGGGCCCGAGTACTTCCCAATGTTTCCCAAGCACGCCAACCTTACCAAATTTGCGTCACAGGGCGTCTCCTCTGGTCTGATCATGTTGTCAGAGAGTGTAGCACGAAGAATTTCCTTGTATCCTTCCAGCGCCTTTCTGCTTGCACCCTTCACGATTTTGCTGGCCAGTCCCATGGTCTCGACATGCTGAAAAGCTGTGCAAAGGCTCTCATCCTAGGTTTTTGTTGAAGAACCGGGCATGATCTTTCAACGAAGTGTGGTTGAGGAACCGGGCATCATCTTTCTGAAGTATCTTTGATGGTCCTTTCAGCTGAGGCACTGCTCCCACAGCACAGCTGAAGACCCCCAGGGGCCACTCCAACAGTCGGCATCCTTCTGGCCCTGCTACTACATCAGACACCCAAGCTGAACCTGGAAAAGCGCTGGTAGTTCTCGAAACATTTCAAAAACATCCAACTATCGAACATGATCATGATGTGGTGCCCACAAGCAGAACTTGGTTTAGAATGCTTGGAATACACCGTAGATCAGACACATGCGGCATTTGTGAACCTGACCAGCCAAAACCAGCCAAACAAAAACCACCCACATCGAGCTGGCCAGAGCGAGCTAGCGAGCTGGCCTGCTCTGACGTTGGTCAATGGCCCAGTCTTCTCCTGACGGCGTGGAGTCCAAACCGGGCCCACTGAGATGCCTCAGTTTGGTCTGTTGTCTCGGTCGTCTCCCGCTCCGTCTCCTCAAGGCCGGACCTCAACAGGGCATGCAAGTCGTCGCTGGTGCCACGGTTTCGCAAGCCACGAGCTTCGGCTTGTTCGATGAGCCAGGAGTCCTCCCAGTCCTCCGAACTGGGCGAGCGAGGGCAACAGGTGCTGGCGAGCGACTGGGCGAATGACTGGGCGAATGGTGAGAGGGAGCAAAAGAAATATGCGACTGGGCCCCGTGAATACGCGCCCCTTCATATGGGGCTGGCATGGGGCTGGCGTATTCAAGAGGCCCAAGCAAGCACCTTATTGTTTTCCTCTTTTGACATAACGAAGCAGTCCTCATTCGTGTTGGGTTCGTTTGTGAATGGAATGCCCAGGAATTCAGATCGCCAAGCCTTTGGCCATAGTGTGCCGATGAACACATCCTCTTCAGGACATACCGATCAGCGGCACCAGCAGGAATTCTAGATCATTGTGATTCTAAATGAGTCTATGAGTCTATGCGAGTTCAAACAAAGTGAAATTGTAATATAACTGCAAGTCCGATGAAGTCTTTCAACGTTAACACGACTTCACGTCTCGTGTCGCGTCTTCGCGTCTCAGTCAGTGAAAGCATGTTGGCAGTTAAACAAAACACAAGAAAAGACTGGTGAAAGGTGTCCACTGTTTGTCGCATGAATCCTGGTGGTACTCTATGTTCACAACTCCAGCAGCTCGCTCAGCAACACAAGTTCCCTCTGTTACATAGAGGACTCGTTGGACTGCATCACCTGCAGCGACAATTCGTTCCTGAGGACTTCCAGGATAACGTCGAAGGGTGAGGATCAAGTCGAGGCAATGCATTTTGGTCAAACATGGTGAGACCCTGAATATGTGCACTTTAGCAGTACTCTCATGTACTCTCTATAGTACTCTGTGCCAGTGTACTGCCCAGCATCTCCAGGCGCATAATTCTGAAATTTGGCACCAGCCTTGAACCAGGACTTCAGAATTACTTATGTAATTATGCGGCAATGCGGCAATTATTTCTCAAGTCTTCTGTAAATTCACCCATTTGACTTTCGACCATCTTGAAAGGCTCTTACGATTTGTTGGATTTAGAGTCTAGAGTCCATGAGAAACGACAATGTAAAATAATGTAAAACAGGCTGGCCTTTAGAAGCTTGGCAAACTGTCTTGGAGTCACCCCATGACTTTGGAAGCCATGCTCGTAGATGTCCTCTTCTTCGTCAGTGAGATGGAGGCCATGGTTTTGTTCGTGAAGTAGCCTTGACACGTATGCATTCCTCCACGTAGGTCTTTACTTTTGTACAATCATACACCGGTCACTGCATCGCTTCATATCTCCTCTTGCTGCTCACCTCCTACCTCTTTCCTTCTGACACTACGAGCCAAGGCTTTTCTTTGGTTGCTTCGTTTGCAGCCAAGTTGGCAATGCCAAGTTGGCAAAGTGCAAAATGGCGAAGGCCATGCCCCAGCATCCAGCAGTTTTTTGGTGAGTCTTCAACGGCTTCTGCATGCAGAAGTTGAAGGAGGCCACCTGGTCTTGTTGCATGAGGACTCTGTCTTGTGCCCCTTGCCAGCAAAGCCCGGCTGAAATTCTACGGAAAGATACGGAAAGCTAAAGATGCTAACGCACCGAAGTTTCTGACACGTTCACTAAAAGTTCAGAGGTGTTGGAATCCGGTCACTGTGTGGAAAGTCTTCAGGCAAAAGCTGGCTTCGACGCTTGCCCAAGCCACACAAGAGGCCGCAGCTCCAGAGAGCACACGTACTAAGGCGTGATCATGAGTTCCCGCTGCTGCCAAAGCACAGAGATTTCCTGCTTCTATCTATGCGTGGCAATTGTGTTTCTTTGTACCGGCCATTCCAATAGATACCTGCATGGATGTATAACTTTCAAGCCTTTGCAACTCGGATTGATAGATATTGTTGATGGAGTCTGTGAGACTTGCCCTCAGGCAAGTGGGACTCAGGCCATTATGATGAATGACGCAGGTGCATCATGCATCGCTCTTTATGGTGTGGTTCAATGAAATCGGGAGACCGTTTGGAAGTCGGTCATCTTGCTCCAAATCAGTTGCTTTCCCACTATCATTAAAAAGGATCGGCGTAAACGTGCGAAAACGTTCCCAGACCAGCAATGAATCCAAACAATAAGCAGTCGGGGTCCTGGTTTAGCAAACACATGACAAAAAAAAAAACGTTCTTATGAATCTACAGAATCTATAAAGCTAGGTTTGAATTGGGAAACATGGTTCGTGGCACTTGCAGGGTGTACTACGTAAGTTTGACGGCATCGCGAATGGTCCAAATGGCAAAGCAGGACGAAGATGCGCGCAGGCTTGCGCAGCCGGGTGTCCTGCAGTATTCAGAGCTGCTAAGCCACGCGGTGTGAGCTCATGCCTTGGGAAGCGACATGCAGATCGCAACAATCATACAACAGGCGTTGCAGTCGAAAGGCGTCTAATGTGCCCACAACAACTTCCAGAAGCTACTAGTAGCTCCTGGCATTGCTGCTAGTAGCAAGAAGCTACTAGGTTAGAGGCCATCGCTGCTAGTAACAAGAAGCTATTGGAATCTATTAGATGTGTTCAAAAACTGGAAACTTGCAGCCTCGACACCACGGAGCATGATTTGCCTTTTCGTTGCCCGACCTGCGTGAAGTCGGCAGCAGCTGAAGTCGGTGTTACTAGTAGCGATGGCCTCCAACCTAGTAGCGATGGCCTCCGACCTCCTCCACCTAGTAGCTTCTAGTTACTAGAAAGCTTTATTGTTACTAGCGGCGATGTTCTCCAACCTAGTAGCTTCTTGCTACTAGTAGTGATGCCAGGAGCTTCTTGTATCTGTTCACTCCATTCCGAGCGGCCTGGAGTCGGAAAAGCATCGAAGTGCCGCAGACTTTCCCACGCGCTCCGTGTGGGATCCCAGGCGGCGGATCGACACAGCGACGCGGCTCGACACGCTCATGTGAGTTGCAAAGGGTGTCCGGTTTGGACGACAGTTGAGGACAATGTCATGTGATACTATCATATACTATCTTCATCTATCTGTGACTACTTAGTGACTAGTCACGTCAACTGCTCCACCCACGAAGTCAGCTGCCCAGCGCTGTATGACTACTCAACGCCAGGCTTGGAGCCAGGAAAGCAAAGATCAGTCACAAAAAGACCACGAAGACAAGGCATGTCAAGAAGATCAGCCACTGATGAGACAACAAACTTTGAAGCTTCCACAAGTCACCCTCTCCTCCCAGTCAATGAGGGCCAATAGCTTGCAGTCGCCAGGCCCATCCTGTCGAATGCTTGTCGTACTGAGGGTCAGTAGGAAATTAGACTGTTAACATAGAAGCTCTATGAAGATTCTGAAGAAAAGGTCTGCCCAGGTCCTCAAAAAGGGTGTTGTCCAGAAAAGCATCACCTCAAGAATGTCCGACATCTCGGCATGCGTCTTGTCTTCATGGTTCTTCCTTTCTGGTCCTGTCTTTCTTCAGGGCCCGCTCCGTGAATAAGGCCCCACGGCACCTCGCCGAATCTCTCAATTAGCCAAAGCAAAGGAATGAGAAACAAGGCCATGGGAAATACATGGAAATACTGGTACTGTCCAAGTACGGGCCAGTACGGGCCGGGAATTTCATGGACAAAGGATCGAAAACGAACAACGCAGATTCTCAACAAAACCGTTGACTAAAGACAGGCAAGAACTATCAGCAAGTAAGGTCTAAATATGGTGCCCTTAAGGTCTGTGATGGTTTGATTCTTGTTTGTCTTGTTTCTCTGGTTCTGGAACGTTCGATGGGAACCCACCTCCGAGTCATAGAGCTGTCGCAACCAAGGGATTTGGCGATGCACCAGCGCCACAAAAGGATCATCTTGGAAGCGCGAGCCGTCTGCGTTCAACTTCTCAACCTCCTGAGGCGTTAAGGGACGAACACCACATGGTTGACACGATTGAGCGGTTCGCAAGGCGAAAGAACTTTCAACTACATCATATACCATAATATTAATATATATATATATTAATATGCCTGATCGATATATTCCAAAGATCCTTTTGTCTTTGAGCTGAGCTAGAAGGGCAGCATTCAAACCTGGAGGATCCTGCAAGCACAAGCCATCCAGGGTGCTTTCTGTGCCCTCGCAAGAGGCACACTTAAAACATTTCGGCCTCTTTAAAGCCTCAAGGTTGGCTACAACTTTGAGGGAGGCTTGCCTGCTAAGGTCTTGGTAACCAAGTATTCTTCAATTCCCATTGTGCCCCACTCACGGGCGTTTCCTCAGTAAGACGAACCACTGATTTGCCGTGATCAGGCCACAGGAAAAACTCCTGCCTGTTAGCTGAGTCAGCAACCACTCTGCTTGTAACCGCCAAAAGGTGCATCTGGTAGAACTCAGCGTTAGGGAGCCCATGAAGCTTGCGCAATGACATGCAATGTCCAACTCAAGTCGGTTTGTCACATCTTTACTTAAGGTCTGGGAACTCTGGGAACAAGACTTGATGTGTCGTTGATCATGACCTCGATGTGAGTGGCGGCTGGTTTTCACTAGCTGCAAATTAAATGACTTATATAAACATTTTTGAATGATAGGATGAGGCGTGCTTGGATGTCAAACAGGGGAATGTGCAAAAAGGTTGAAGACTCAAACCTGCAACCTGCGACTTCCTGAGCTAATCGCCATGCCAGAGCGGAGCTTTCGTGCCTTGGACCCACAAACAAAGTGTTCTGAGTTTAACAGGAGCTTCCTCCACCCTACTAGCGATGGCCTCCACCCTTCTAGCGATGTCCTCCACCCTAAGAGCGATGGCCTGCAACCTAATAGCGTTGGAGTCTGAGTATTGTTTCTCCACCACGGCTGTTCCAGCCTTTCAAGTGAAACTTAGTCAAACCATGCCCGCAAATTCCTGGTCTCACTAAGGTCTCCGAGACCTAGCCATTCTTTGAGGTTGATTCTTCACGGCTGATTGACTCCACGGGTCGAGTCTAGGCTGCCAACAACTTGAACTGCTCGCTCAGGAGATGCACTTCCAACGGCATTGTTCAAGCCATACACCTTAGCACCAACAATCTGTGTACGAGCACTGGTGCATCTTAACTCCAATCAAAAACATCAAAAAACAATGCTTCATTGATTTGATACAACCATAAGCAAGGCAAAAGAAAATACAAAGTATGATTGCACGCATGAGTGTGCAACGGTATCATTGGCGATTCGAATGGCCTCCTGCCCAACCAAAATCATGCCATCGAGTGTCACATGGTCAGGATGTTGGCAGAATCAGCGCTGGGACTCTTTTTCAAGCCGCCATAGCGATAGCGATATTCTCATGATTCTTCGTGTCCGAAGTTGTGAAAACTCCGTGATATCGGCCGTCCTCTTCCGAACTGTAGGGGATGATGGACAGAACTGGCCCAAAGATTTCCTCCTGCGCGATGGTCATCTTGTTATCCACCTCAGCACTTTGGAGAACCTACCGTCCAAATCTCCAGTATATGTTAAGGCTTAAGCGGCACATTGCAAATACCAAGCCTGGACCCTTTTATATCGTCTCATGCATGTCGCAAACCATCGCAGGGAACTCGATGGCCCCAAAATGATACCCCAAAGTTCTGGCACGTTCTTACCGTTCTTACCAACACCCTGTGGCCACACACGAAAGAATGCAATGCCATTCTTAAGTTTGAAATCACCCGCAAATCTACTTCCCTGCGACGGCGAGTTTTGACGGACAGCCTTTCAGTTTCAAAGGCTTTTTGGCCCATCCCTTGTACCAGCATTCAAATTGGTCTTTGGACAGACACTGTGACCCCAGCAGTGTTGGACTGTTGGACCAACACGTCCCCATGGCAATTCGCATCATCCGAATTCTGGCCATCTGTCAACTATCACGATATCCAAAGCACTGTTGCAAGTCAATGCAAGTCATTAGAAGCCAGTTTGTGCGGATTCAGCCCAAAATAAGAAAACCTGCCCCACAGATTCATACAGATTCTGGACGGTGGCTGGTCTGCCGCACCGGTGAAGGGCCGACATTCCTCGTGAATGTCAACCCGAAAATCTGCGGATCACGTCAAGGGCTTTGGTTGGCTGAAAAAGCTCAAAGCACTTACACAAATCATTGGAAATGAATTACCTGGTCGTCCCCGTTTGCCTTCCACATGGATTCCAAAGTAGACAGAGACGGGATATGACGCGCTAGAAAAGGGCTGACAATTCACCATCAGATCACTCATAGCGACCATCAAGACGGACGATTCATAAGCCAATCTTGAGGACTCCAGGGACATGGAAATGTGTTTTCCATTCTGCCACCCAAGGCTCAAGCACTGTGGACAAATCTTCGACTGCGCAGGCACGGTCACGAGGACAAAATATCGCGCAGAAAGTCGAACGAATTAAGCAGGCTTTCTGCACAGCACTTCAGCAGGCTTCGGCCATATGGTTCTTCCGGATGCGGCTGGAAAAGCAAGACCGATCAGTTTGCAAACCGATGATGCCACCTGACCTGAAATCACACATGACTTGGGTTGCCCTATCTCTTGTTGCATTGCTCTTCTCCGAAAGCATGCTTAACATGTTTCCAGCCAGCTTCACCCCCTCATCAGCCACCCCCACACGATCTGAGTGATTGGCAGCGCGTGGTTTCACCCTCAATACAAAGTTTCTTTTCTGGCATAGCATAGTATTGGTGGAAATTAATCGTACATAATTTAAAAAAAAAAAAAAAATCGTACCACCGATGCAAGAACGGTAACAGTTGCAAGTCTACGGAAATGATTCAACATTCCAACCCACTAAGGCCAAGCCTCACACCTCCCCAAAAAGGATTCGCAAGACGTGGAGTCTGCCGTGTGAGTCAACCTTGTTCACAAGACGACCACCCCAAAGATTCACCGAGCCGCTGAACCCAGCTCCATGTGTTGCCACCAAGATATGTCTTTTCACGCCGCAAGGCCGGCTGGAAACCTGCCTGATTGTGTACGTTGCCCATGTTTTGCTTGACATGGCCGCCGAAATCCCTTCGCCAAAAAAGAGAGTCGTCACGAAGAAGTGAAGTCATTGGCCGCAAAGTGAAGTCGACAAGAGACGTCTATCTCTAAGAGATGTTCTCTGGGAGATGTCAATCTCCAACAGCACCGCTAGGCAAGTAGCGACCACCTGCTACTTGAATCTTTGGCACGCCACTTGGTATATTATACACCAAACGAAGCCCGCAAAGTTGTCAACTGCGAGCTGCGCACCCGACTTACATGTTCAAAACTTGGCTGAAAGGTTTCTCACTGTTGAGATTGAGATTGAGCTCACTCTAGAGAGACCGAGATTGAACTTCTCACTGACGATGTGTTGAAACCTCTGCAACCAATTTTTGATTCAGAGCAGAGATGACCGAGTTTTGCGAAATCTTGGAGAGATGGATTCTGGATGCAAACCCTGTGCTAGGCACAGTATCAAAGCCCTAGTTCAAAGCGAATGTTCCTAGCTTCCAGAACCACGGGGCCCAGTCCACCATGCTTCGCGTGAAATGGACGCCGGCTTGCTGTGTGTTGTGTGAACAAGACAGGACCCAGCTCCTGTCAGGGCAACCTGTGGGACAAACTGTGTGTTCAATTTTGTGCCCACTCTGAAAGCAGAACCATGCAACTCACTGGAAAAGCTATCGTTTGCGGCGCGGTGTGCCCTGCTGGCTTCCAATGCTTCTTCTCAATCGCAAGGACAACGTGGCGCGTAGCCATCTTCATTGCAAGCGCAAGTAGGATTCCACCAGTTTGAAAGCTGCCCATGATCTTCATCACCTCAGTGTTATCTAAAATCAGGTTTGGCTGCAACCTCAAATTGGTCTTGAACGGAGATTCTATGTGTCAAGACCCCGCTCTTTCTCAAACTTCAAAGAAACGAATGAAATTGAATGAAGATGATGTTAAGTGGCCCAGGTAACTGTCACTCTCAAAGACGGAGGCCTGCAAAAACACCAGGATCCACTTCCGTTGATCCAAAAATGCAAGTACATCAGTGCCGCACCATCTTATTCGATGTCTCAAGCAGTTGTGCCATCATGTCAATTGAACCACTTGTCAAAATTAGCTGTTCCTTTTGCTCTGAATTGAGCGGAAAAAGAAAAAAAGCACACACAACAAAATCCACCATCGGCTCCTCCCATTCAACCAAACATTTGGTGTTTTTGACCATACGAAACTTGCCGTGTGAGTGTGCACCAAACAATCTCTCTGCCTCGAGGTCAAGCTCGCTGTTTGGGTCGCCAAGCCACCCTGCATTTTGATTCTCTCATGTTCATTGAGCTACTTCCAAAAAGGATTAGTATAATGAATTCTCACCAATACTTGTTAGAATTATATATTATATAGAATGCCTTTCTCTTTGCGTTGATTTTTTCGTGCTGCCATCTGTGAAGGGAATCCTTCTATCGGCTCTCTGAACTTCACCGCAGGTGCCCCAACTTCCGCCGGCGCCTCGCGGCGAACCTTCGATATATTGGAGGAGCTCCCTGGCTCACAGGGTTGCCACATGTTGCGACTCTTCGCCATGAATGGTCATGTCATTTGGGAAGAGCCCGGGCTCCGAGTCGTCCGTTGCAAACTCGGTGCACCGAGTTTCCGGTCCTGGCGTTGCCCTGCAAACTGTCCGCCAGGATGCGCCTGCCACGCAAGACACTTGTGGTTTTGAGACGCCGGGCTGGGCTAGGGGCACTCTATGTCAAGCGTGTGGAGAGACATGCTTGGACACTGCAGGGTCGAAATTCATGTTAGAAGAAGGTTAAGCAGAAAATTAAAAAGACAAGTCCATGTAAAAAATTAGTAATAAGAATATAATCGAACATAGTAGAATATATATATATATAATATAACAAAAAGGGATGATTGGACCAATGAAATCTAGCATCCCACCGGAAATCGCATGAAATATCAACTTACCTGACCTCACAACACGTCATCCACTTTGAAATGAATTCTCCGCCTTCTACTACTCCAATTGCAGTCTATACAATCAAAACTACAACCTCTATAAAATCTGGTGCATTTTCATGCCTTCTCTATAAAATGGAGCTCAAACTATTGGGCATCATGAAAGATCCTGTGAAAACACTGCTTGGTAGGCTAGCTTTTTTTCAGGTAAGTTAATATCTAATTCAAAAGAAATTATGTCTAAAAAATTTGATGGTCATTTTGAGCTTGACCTCCCAGATTCTTGATCTGGGATCTCCTCATCCGCTTTCTACAGCGTAATCCAATATGTGATGAGTTCCACACAAAGTAAAACACCCCAACTCGAAGTCCATGGAAGAGCACCAGTGTCAGTTTGGGGTTGAACCCTGCATGAAGTTGACTTTAGCAACCTTCAAATCTTGTGCTGAGCTGAAGGTTTCACGCTTGTGGAGATGTGGTGTTCTCTAGTCTTGCTGACCAGGACGCGCCTACCTACCTTGACCTATTAGCAACGACAGGAATAGATTTGTTGAAACCTTTAAAGCCAGATGTAAACGATTCGTATCAGAATTAGTTGCTTCAGAGTTGCTGGTCTTGTGGGTGTTCTTTCTGAGAGAACATGCATCATACTACCTAGTGATGTTGGTAATGCTACATAGATTGCGTCGCATATCCAGCAACATTGTAGTACGTTTGGCTCTATGGGATAATGGTAAGTTGGAAGACACAAACAAGTGTTTGAAGAAGTGTCAAGGTTGGGCTCCATGTTGTTGTGCATGTGTCTGCAAGGGCGACATTGACATGGGGCTGCGCCGCACATGCTGGCCTGCCATCTGGCAGCTCTGCAAGGACGACGCGCACAGACAGGTAAGCTCAAGGACAACATCTTGGACTGGAAGACATCCATTTCCCAATCGTCTCGGAATCGAAGTAAACTCGCATATTTGCATACAGCATACATGATCTGCAATCACAGATGCTCTGATACATGACTTAGCAGCGTGGGAAGAAAGCTGATGAACAGAAGGGAGGTGCTGCGAGGCCACGAAAAAAGAACGGTGCTTTCTGCCAGCTGGTCTTTGGGCTGCGCTCAGTCCCTACAATACCTTTATGATAGCAACAAACAAAGCCTGCTCAACAAACTCTGTGTGAAACTCTTCAAGTTGAGACAAGAAGCTACCAGGGGCTCCTGGCCTTACTACTAGTAACAAAGACGCTACTAGGAACAAAGGTCATCGCTACAATTGAGCGATGATCCAAGCCTTGGTATGAAAAAGTGGAGTAGCTGTAAAGGTATCATTTTTGTATTTTCCGGTATCGTTTTCCAAGGAAAAACAATCCACAGAAACTGGTATCGTTTTTGGCGTTCTGGTATCGTTTTCCATGGTTTGTGCAAAAACTCTGAACATATTCCATATCTCTACATACTGATGAGGTGAACCATTTCCAAAGTTGCTCACTTGGTGTTGACAAACTCCCTTCGATGCCTCGCCGTCTTTGGGCTGGGCATGGTCTCTGTCACCTGCCACGACTGACGCGAACGCGAGTTCACGGTTGGAGGAAGCCTAGCACACACTAGTCGCTAGAATTTGAGAGGAGAAAACTCGTCAACTCCAGAACTATATTATTACTTGGAACATTTCATGTTTGATCACCCGGAATCCCATTCTATTCATTGAAGTTGGGCCTCAACGAATGCGGCAACGAGGCCGCCAGCCAAAGTCAAATCATATGCGCCACCAGGAGAGGGTGAGGTGAGACAAAAAATTATCAAAGCATCGCATTCAACGTCACCCCCTTACAAGATTCGACAATTCGAAGACCTAGTTCGGCTCGGCCTCGGGTGCAACTGGCAACCTCATGTGGCACAAACAAAAGCATCTGTCTGTCATCATCCTTTCTGAGCTACCTGTGATATTCGATTCTTCAACGAGCGGATGGATTTCTAATGAACCCAATCCAGAGCGCTTGACTGACAAGAGACAGTTGCCCACAGCAACGTACGAAACAAGAACATCAAAGTTTGACTGAAGAAACATGAAGAAACTTGGTTTGGTTTCGTCCATCAGCCACCAGCCACCATCAATAGAAAATAACGCTGCAAAACAACTTGTAACTGATGCGCACCAAACAAGAGGGTGCCCTTCAACAGCGAAAAAAGGCAAATCCTGAATTGCGAAGTCGTGGTTTTTTGTTTCGAAACTCGTTCAGCTGCGAAATTTGTTTGTGGAGGATCTTGATTGTGCCTCATTAAAAACATGCAGGAAAAACCTACAACCTAGGACGCCGCAATATTCTCCCTTCGGCTGCCCTCCAATTGGTCTTTCGGCTGCCCCACACCTTGAGTGGGGTCTTTGCCACTACGGGTGTCTTAAAGGTGTGAAGCCGCAAAGAAAAAGTATTTGTTCGGCTGCCAGAAGCACAGAGCAATGGCTCTCAAGGGGCCTTTGTGGTGAAAAAAGTTGGGCAATGAATGATGCGTCCCTCGCATTAATTTCTTCGACCTGACGAGAAGTCGATACCCGCCAAGTTCAATCGCAAGGTCCCACCCACTGTGCCGTGTTGGCAGAGACCCAACTCTGCCATGTTAAGCCACGTAAACTCAGCCATGCGGTGGCAATCAGCGTGTCATTTCGCAATTACAAAGTTCATGTTCGCAATTAAAATCTGGATTTCGTTATTGAAATATGATTTCACTACTAAGAGGTACCCTGACAAAACAACAGTAAACTACGTAGTAACTAGGAAAGTCACCAAGGGTGGGCTTCTTTGCTGCTGTGAATATCATTCATGGAACTTGCCCAGGACGAGGCACTTGCCGTCTTGTGCCAACAGATGTCCATCCTATGACAAAGTTGAGAAGTTGAGCATCGCCAATTGCTGTGACTGAATGACTCAAGAGCTAACACATGGTTGTCTCTGTCGTTGCTATACCAAAAAAAGAGCTTGCATGCATGCATGCTGCTGCAAGGTCTTCAGTGTTCGGCATTGTTCAGCTGAATTTTGCACATTCACAGCCAGTCCTACTGAAGTGGTCATCCCATCACCATGTTGTGATGCATAATGCTGTTTGATTTAATCTTTCAAAGATGGAGAAGCACAGCAAGCAGATGCCGACGACAAGAGACAACTCCGCTCTCAGTGCCTTGATATAGACTTGCTGAGAAGTGTTTGGTGTAGTTCGTGGCTCTGCACCCTTCATCATCATCAGTGCACCCTTCATAGTCAGCCCCGACGCTGTGTCGCAGATGTGCAGGCTGGATGTGCAGAGCCTGGTGGACACTTTGGAGATCAGTTTGTCAAAGCGTGCCATTTCAAGCTGATGCGAGCTAGTCCGTTCAAAGCTTATTTTTTTTAGTGCAGGCTGTCATGGTTCCTCGATGACTTTTGATGTAGAGCAAGACCAAGAACAAGTGAATAGCATGTAGAACGAGTCACCACCCAGGTGGTACGGCGCTGGTAGACTAAACAACCCAGACAGAACTAGTTATCTAACACCACCCAATTGCCATACCTTGGAACTGCCAAGGAGCTGCTCTGCCACTTCCAATGTCATGGTGTCCTTCAGTGATCAGAACACGCATCGAGTGATCCACTGGATCCACCGGTGGATCTGGTCACAAGTTACTAGGATCGGACGGTCAGGGTGGTCCGAAGTTCCCTATATAGTAGCTTCTTGCTACTAGAAGCGATGCCAGGAGCTACTAGTAGCTTCTTGCTCCTAGTAGAAATGCTCTTGTTATCTCTTGTTACTAGTAGCTTCTTGCTACTGGTAGCGATGGCCTCCAACCTAATAGCGATGGACAAAGTACCTAGTAGCTCCTCCAACTACTAGTACTTAAGCTTCTGATGCTAACTTCTGACCTTCACGAATGCGACCGATGCTAAGTCAGCTCCGATGCTAAGCTACCAGCGAGTAGGAAAGCCAGGCACTGTCTCGCTGTCAAACGTTCAAGCCAAAACGCTGCGATTTGGACCCAATTCGTGTCCGGAAGCTGGAAGTAAACTTGTGGCCTTCCAAGTGCCAGTTATACAAAGAACCGGGGACACAGGCATCTGCGAAGACTGTCGGCTTCACCTGAATGATGAGTGGACGAAAAGCTTACATTCTGTCAATGCTTTCAAATAAAAGTCCAACCACAGACGACCAAACCGAACACAGCAAAGCTGTGTCACTTAGGCGCCGGCAAAGAATCCATTAGAGAGGCCATCTGGCCTCCCTGGACCACCAGCTACAAGTTTTGCACCCTCCTCCAGGTCACAAACACAAGAAATGTTGGTCAAGCTGTCAAGCTTTGCCAAAAGCTCAACAGCTCCTTTCCTTAATTCCAGTCTGGATGTAGCCCTGCACTCGGTCCCATTGCCTGGAAAAACGCTACGATGGTATAGAAAGGCAGGAAAAGGGAATGACACTACTAATTACATGCTAATGTCCAATCAACTCTGAGTGCGAAGCGCTTGAGACACTACTGGGCCGATAGAGGCCTGCAAAACAGTTGCAGCTAAGCTGTCAGCAAATGTGACTGTTTCTAGCTATGGCCAATTCCCCGCACCCTCAAAAGCACCATTCTGTCACCACCGCACCCTGCTGCGCAGTGGTGGCGGCATCAGGTCTCGATCTGAAAAAAAAGTATGAAAAATATTCGAAAAGGAAGCTCTTCTTCGGGTTGGTGTCCACCCACCAATCCGGATTTCATCCTCCCAAGCGTTCGGTTTTTTTCACACCGGACGCATATGTTCAAAACTACTGTGGCTTCATTTTCAGACCGGCCCTTCGATTTGCTCAAGGAATCTGGCCATGGAAGTGAGAGAAACAGCGTCGAGATTGGCACTGGTTTCAGACTGAGCTTACCATTACAGTAGTGAAAGCCACATCAAAACCCCCGCGCGCAATGGCCTTGGAATCGGCAGATTCTCCGACGATCGTTGCCTCTGCAACCTTGGCATCTTGGCTCTTTGGCATCTTGGCTCTCCAAATTACTGTAAATGTGGTGCACCGGACCTTCTTCGCTATGCCAACAGCTTCCTCGTAGCCTGCTCTCACATTCCAGAACTTCAAAAAAGTAGACCAACAGGCCGTGCAAAGAAAGGATGGAAAGTCAATCCGAAGCGAACCTTGATACAGCATTACCGTCCCACCAGCATTGAAAGTGGATGGTAAACGTAAAGAAAGTGATAGATACTGTTAGTTTGGAGGCCATGGCTATTTGGTTAGAGGCCATCGCTATGATAGTATGATACTAGTAGCTGTAGTCTCTGTCTGTTTGCTCCCTGTCTGAGCTGCCCACGAGTCCTGGGAACCAGTAAGCGGCTCAAAGCATTGCAGGACTGCCCAGTGTTGGCCCTGGCGCCGTGTCACTCCGTGTCTATAATGTGGAAAACGACCATTGTCATCTTAGAGGCTAGTCTCGGGGAGTCATCAATCAATCAGAGGGTCATGGATGATGTGAAGCTCTGCCGGCCCTTTCCACCTCGCAATCTGAGTGGCAGGCATGAGCGACTTCACGAACTTGGGGATGAGAGCCTGGAAGTCTGCATCCTGCGCTGGTGGAGTCCACGAGCTGGGAGCAGCTTCGAGAATCTCGGCCGAGCACGCGCGTGGTCGGTCCTCCAGCAACAAAGCAGCGCTCTTGCCGCCCAGTTCTGTTCGAACCTTTCACTCAACTTGGAGCGAACTGCTCAATGAACTGCTCTGTTGCTACTTCTATAACTGGAAGCGTCCATCGATGAGGCCGGGGACACCCTTGGGGCACCCACCACTTTCAATGTTTTCGCTGCCACCTCGGAGATCCGTCGTCCTGAGTCATCTGCAACTCGTGGATCTCATGTTGTCTCAGAAAGCCACCAGAGAATCCGTGCCGGCTCGTGTGGAGCCTGTAAAGCTCACCTGGAAACGATCGCGATCAGCTCCGAGATCAGCTGAGCTGCCAGACTTGACAGCTGGAAGTGAGACGTGGCGATGATATCGACAGCCCAAAAGAGAGATTCACTTGTGAACATAATTTATGAACATGTTTTGTATGTCTCTTCGCTCCGCTCTTCTTTGAGATGCTTCTTTGCTGGGATCCGTGCCAGGTCTACATCTTCATGCGCTGCGAGCACCTGATCTTGGGCACTGCCAAGCTCGGAATCTATATGAAGCTTTGGCTGTTTGATCCTCCAAAGTCATTGAATCCTGTCGGGTGAATTGAGCAGTAAAGCCTTACAGTAGTAAAGCCACTGCACCAAGACAACATCCAGTCACTAGGCAAAGGAGAACTTGTTTCATGGTAGGTATACAGTGCTTGAAATCAAGTTGCTGTTCCTGTTAAACTTTGGAGATTGCACTACCCTTCACAGGAATCAAAAAACGGCACAACAAACTATCCAGTTCCCATGTCCAATTTATTGACCTTATGCAACTAGTTGAAATCACAAACAAGCCAGTGCATTGTCTTGGGCCTCTCCACAGTTTGGCCCATCACCCATAATCATGTTGAAGACGCCAGGGGGGACCTCAGCCTGAACCAGCAGCGTCAGTTGAACCAAACACATCGACACGTCCACAAGCTTCTTGTGCTGTTTTGGGCACCTCGTGGATTGCCTCTGCAAGTAGGTAAGCACACACTGGAGTCACCTGCGAACGCAACGCAAGCTGCACTCTGATTTGCAAGGATTGTCAAACCATGTGAGACTCAAAATTACACTGGCAGTTACACCGGCATAGACCCCAGATAGCAAATAACTAAAACAGAAGCACGTGAGACAAAAAAGGTCATTGACAAAAAGAATCCAGCCAGGTGAGGAGACATGTAAGGAGACAAGGCAGCAGGGGCAGCGGAAAACCAAAATGCTGATCAGCCACCCAGTCAGTGAGAAATAAGAACCCCTGAAGCTTTCAACTATCTGAGGAAAAAGAAGTACTGCAAAATTAGCTCCAGCTTAAATGAAAGACCCATTCATAGCACCCCCTCGACGCATTTCTAGTTTCGGACCTCACTGGGTTTCAGCACCACCGTGCAGCCCACTAGCAATGCTGGGAAGACCTTCGCAGCCTGGGCACCCGCTGAAAGAGCGACCGCTTTTTCAGCGAAAACGCCGTGCGCAAGCACACGTCTCAGTACAGCACTATCTGGTTCAAAGGGTAGTTCCATGGAGTAATGCCTCATGTTGTCTGAGAACTGACACAGGAAATGTTCAAAACTTCAGAACTGTTTCCTGTTCATAATTGCACACTTGAGATCACTTGAGCATGTTTCGTTGTCCAAGCTTTCTGCAGCCAACTACGCCAACGGGCTCCTTGACCACCTAAGGCAAGATTGACCTTCTGTACCTACAGAGTGTGGTCTTCACCACTTCACCACGCTCAAATCATGCCTTCACTGGCCTGAGGGCGGGTCCAAGCTGCCCATTGGCATCCTCTCCTCGAACTTGATTAAGTCCACCATCTTGAGACCTGATTGGCGAGTCCACCATCGGCACGGTTCGACTCGAGAAGGGGTCGAGACCCAGAGGGTTGAAGGCTCAAAACAGAAAGCCGGTGGGTTGACTCTGAGCTGCACTCTTGAGCCCAAGTGCATATCCACCATGTTCACCTCCCATCATTTCTAAAGGTATAATTAATTACTAGTTATGCCGTATATTGCTGTGCAGCTGATACAAGCAAGCAATTCAAGCTACATTATCGGAGCAAAGCTCAGTCACTGAGTTCCGCCTGAACTTGTGTTGCAAATTTCACATTGCAGCCTAGCTCTTTGGTCAACCATTCCACCGCAGTTCCCTGTCAGCTTCGGGGCTGCAATTCATGCACAAAAGAAACATTAAAGGCTTCTAAGGAACATTCAACATGTCAATCTTCCGATCTAGAAGCTTTCTGAGCCAACTCGACCATGAACTCAATGGATTACAGCGCCTTTTTCTGCTGCCATCGCTCCAGGACCTTTTGCAAAGCGGCCTGGCCACCGGCAAGCATTGCAATCAATTGAGTATCTGCAGTATCGACATAAAAGCTTCAACCAAAAGCAGATTGACTGGGAGTCAAGTCCGAAGTGCACTTCTCAAAAAAGAGTGGAATCCGCCGGCCCTGGGGCACGGCGTGTTTTGGGTAGTTGGTTTTTTGTTAGTTCTTTGTTAAGCTATGTCTTGTCTGCTTTAGTGCTCCCCCGGGCGGATTTTTGAACGGTCTAACCTGACCCCTCCCCTCCCCCCAAGAACATCCCAAATGTATGTAGCTCACATATATCATAGCTAAAGTGAAAGGTTGTGTGCGCTTCCTTCTTATCGTCGTTCTTCTCTTGTCGTTGTCCATGCATTGCGCTTCTGCTTTGCATGCGTTTTTCTCAGGCTTTGCACCTGCACTCACGTATCTATCGTTTTTTGCAGACTCAGACTGCTTGGAAATCCCCATGCCACAGATGTCCTCATTACTCTCTTGTATCATGTCTGACGGAATGCTATGTACGATTGCTGCTTCGCACGGTCTACTTCGCTCATTGTGTCACATGTCATATAATTTGTCTTCTTGCTTGGCAGGCTATACTTTGCATCCCCCAATTTCATCTCCCTCTTCTCTTATTGTATCATAATGCACGTCATTTCATGTAGGCTCCTCTGTTGCTCCAGCTGTGTTCTGGATGATGCTGTTACTTTTTCTGCTCTGTTGCAGTCTTTCCTCTTGACGCAAAAAGTAATCCGGATCTTGGGACCATTGGCTGAAAAGGCCGGCGGAACAACCCGCAGGGTGTAAATAAATGAGAATAGCCAGAATAGCCTCAAGGTTCGTCTACGTCTTGGGGTAGACGAAAGTGGGTTCTAAACCACTTCAATGCGAAAGTCAGCCACTTCCATGCGAAACTGATCCTATCAACATGTGCCGCGGATCGGCCTTTCGTTCACTCAGCGGTTTCTCGGCCTAGGAATTCATGCATTGCAAGCAACGGGTCTACGGGGGTGTCCCGACGGTGTCTGCAAGGTTCATTAGGAAGTTTGCTTTTGTCTCTGAATTTAAAAGTGCTCCTGCAATGTGGAAGCTAAACCAGGTAAGTCATCCTGTCCTTTCACCGCTGAGCAGGAGCAGCCTGGCAGCTTTGTCATTTCCTGTGCTCCCCAGCCCAAGCTGTAAAGGCTGACCGGGCCGCCAACACCGCAGCGTTCACATCTTCAGCACCTGGCGGAAGACGAAAAGCGATGCGACGCGACGCGAGGTGCAAAAGCATATTGACGTCTCCAGAGTTGCAATCAAGCCGACAAAACACGCATCGCTTTTGGAGTTGCGAAGACTGTGAGATACTATATTGACTATATTGATACCATGAGGGTCCAAAATGAGCTGGTCGTTCGAGGACATTGTACAAGTCATTCTTGCGATCTCGTGGGCAGTTATTCTAATTATATCTAATTATATAATAAATATACAGCAATTAGTTTCAGAGCAACTGGCACCGGCACCCAAAGATGTCTTTTAGATACAGAAAGGAGCGCTCTGAGCGGCGCGTTTTTGCATTGTTTCATTTTGTTTGTATGTTGTTTCTATATTTGTATTGTGTTTCTATTGATTTTTGTGCCACTGAAAGAATCCTATTCTGCCTCAACCCCCCCCTCCCCCCGAGGCAATTTCCAAAATTCCAATTTTCAAAAACAAACAAAAAAAACAATTGTGCCAGGACTTTGCCTCACCCCCTCTTCCCCCCATGGTCTGCGCAGAATTGTTTTTTTTTTTTTTTGGTTCTTTTGTTTTTTTGGAATTTTGGAAAATTGGAATTTGGAAAATTGGAATATTGGATTTTTGATGTCCTGGGATATTTTAAAATGTTCAATTTCCTTGGAAGTAGACAATACTCCCACTTTCCCTCAATTCCAGAACAGTCTCTGAAATCAAATGACAAAAAGCCTCAGTGATTTTTTCATTAGGGTCTAATAATGGTCCTTCCGCTCCTTTAACTCGAAAATTGGTAATACCTTACATTTTATTTATAACCAGCAAAATTGACATCTGCCATCTTTTCAAATGACATACCAATAATGAATTTGTTCTCTCTGTATTGACGATACGAAAAACTTAAACTGTCTTGATCTGGGTTCATGTAATGGATAGCTCTTCTTAAATAGTAAAAGGTTTATGATAATGATTGCGCTTCAAATTCTGGGTATTTCTGGGAATTGCTTAATTGAATTTGCCAACTTAAACTACTGGTGGCATCTTGAAAACCTTTACCTTGTAAGTCATTTGTATCAGCATTACCAGTATCATTAGTTCTTCCATAGATCATAGGATTGTAAAACTAATTCCATCTCTTATATACCTAATTGTCAGGTAAGTAGCGGTTCAGAACTTCACCACTTCTTGGAGTTCTAAATAAGGTAATGAATGATCCAGTCAGTTAAGAAGATGATTTTACCATATTCATAATAATTTCACCACCACCAGCATTGAATGTTTGGGTGATTGTGTGATAACAATTTGTAATGTTTCTTATCTTTGCCATTCCGCCCCCTTCTATGTCCTGCCATTCTGACACTCAATGGCTGACAAGTAGCACCAATATAGACATCGTCAGTTTTGTCATTTAGTATTCTGTAAATTTTTGCCTTGGAGTAATCCATCATAATATTACATATGTTAATTAAGTTTAAATGTGTTTTTTAAATGAGTGATTAGGGTTAAATCCATTGCTTATATTGGTGCCGGGATTGATGTTCCAAAGGCCGTTCCCTTCAAAATTGATATAGCTGTGGCTCATTAAAGGGTTAGGTTCTTTCAAATCAGAAGTTACAGCGTAACCATCCAAAATTTAAACAATATCGGATGGATTGCGGTAGTCAAGTCTTTTGGTATTTTGTTCCTTTCCTTTTTGTTTCTATTGTAGGGGTAGCATAGGTTGTTGTAGCAAATCTATTAGGTTGTTCTTGATTGATCTTATTACAGCACTTGCAAGGCTATGTCCAACCAAGTGGATTATTTCTGGTGACTTTTCCAATTCTTCTATAACATGTTTGTTTTTCTCACTGTGATAAACATTTCTAATAGGTACTAATAACAGATCATCCATAATATCTATCCCTTGTTAAAGATCCATCACGACCACCTGTGCCACTTATGTATAAAGTCTTACCTGTTTTGTAAAATCCACTTGGTGATGAATAGGCATTCCATAAGCCCCTGCGGTCTTTTATCTTCTCCTTGTTTGCTACATTTTGTTCTTCAGCATATAGTGTTCTATGTTGTTTAAAGTGATCATTTAAGTTTCTTGTAAAGTCATTCATTCTATCATTCCAGTTTTGGTTCTTTTTTTTCATAATCACTGTAGGTTTCTTGACCGATCTTACTGATTAACATCTGGGCGCTTCCAGGCAGATCCTTCCAGGCAATGTCAGACACATCAATCATTCTCAAGAAAACGCATGAAAAAGGTTGAAAAATGCTCATTTTCATCGAAAAACGCGCCGCTCACAGCGCTCCCCTCTCTTTAGATAATATTGGGGTCCATTGGTCCATCAGTTTGGGTCTATATACTCTGAAACCAATGTACTTGATTGAGCAGCGACTGTTCACCATCTCAGCACCTCCAGAGGCGACCCGCGCACACACCTGACCATCGTCTGTGACGATCGGAGTGTAGTGTACTAGTGGTCTGAACAAAATGCAGTTCTTGTTACTAGTAGCATCCTTGCTCCCAGTCGTACGGCCGGGAGCCCCTAGTAGCGTCCTTGCTCCTAGTAGCGATGCCAGGAGCCCCTAGCAGCTAAGGTTGGTCTGTAGTGAGATTTGCCATACTTTGAGCTTGATCAAGATCTCTGAAACAATTGGCCAAGAAGACATAAAAGACGATGTATCGTTTGTATACTGAAAGGCTTCTGAATTCATCTGAATTCTACGTGCATGTAATTACATGTAATTGCATGTGTTGACCTGCCCCGTGTTGGAGTCGGTCACATCACAAAATCTTCCAGATGAACAAGAGGTCCACCTGGCCATGTCAAAACAACTCAAAGCATGTCTAAACCAAGGGCTGAGCAAAGCTTGTGATAAAAAGGAACTGTCAATGTGAATTTTGGGGTCCAGTCTTCAAGTCGACCGTTTCACTATACTACCAGCTTAGAGGCCTGCACCGAGACAAAGTGACTTGCTAGGCTCAGAGCCATGGGTGTTCAAAAGCAAGCCAAGCACAATGTTTAGTCAAACTGCACTCTTCACCTGGAAGGAACATGTCGGAAGCTCTGACCGTTGACATAGTGTCCATTCCAAGTTGGAAGGCTTGCCATGGCACGAGCCGAAACAAAGGGCCACGAACCTCTGGGAGGTCGCAGCACTCTCATTCATGATATTCATGTGAGGCCTAGAGCCACTTCCCCTAAGCATATCTAAGAATGTCCCGACCCCCGATGTCCTTGCCACGGACGTTTTGACTTCTGCGAAGACAAGGTCACAACAAGTTGTTCGTCTGATTTCTTACCTCATATATAACGTGTTCCAACATGCATGCAAATCTGTTGGTTCTTCCCCATGAAGACCTTGTCTGCTAGCTGCAACAGCTGCAGCACGAATGTAAAAAAGTATAAAACAGTCAGACTGCACGGTCCCTTCGCACGAACTGCGCTTGATGCACATGTCCTCTCCACGCAGCAAGTCTCCAGTATTGCACAGCCTCGAAAAGCACTCGCTTTGGCACATGAAATGATCCACCGACAAAAGCCAGGACACGGATACCCAACACGAATGTCACCTCAGTGGCGGAGCTTCAGAGCTCCAGTTTCGGACTTCGTTTCGGTGAGATTCCGGCGAAGCTTTCTGTCTGGCCATTTGACCTTGCCGGCTCACGAATTTGAACAATTAGAATATATATGAATATAAATCGGAGATACAACAATTTGAACGATTTGAAGAATCTCATAGAATTTCAAGGTGTCTGCTCTTTAAGCGGAGTTTACAGAATATGAACTGGGGTGTTTGATCGTGCCGTCGGGATCTCTCGC